CGGCCCACGCCCCCGCGGGGCCGCCCCCCCCCCCGCCGCACGCCGCCGCCGCCGCCCCACTCCAGGCATGCGCCATCCTCCCCGGCGCTGACCGGGAGCGGCCCCCGCAACACCACGGCGGCCACTCGCGCCCCGTGCCCGTAGCACACCAGCAGGCAGGTGCCGGCCCCGTCCCCGCCGCCCAACTCGCCCACGGCCCAGAGTCGCACGCTGCGATCTTCGGAGGCGGAGGCGAGTAGCCCCCGCGACGCCGCGTAGCAGAGCGCCAGCACCGCGCCCCGGTGCCCGCACAGCTGACGCTGCGGGGCCGCCGCCGCCGCCGCCCGCCACACCACTACGGTCCCCGTCGCCGTGCCGGCCGCCAGCGCCAGCCGCGCCCAGCTCACCCCCGCCAGCACGGCGCACCGCAGCGCCCCGGCCCCGCCACAGTTCGCCTGTCGCAACCAGCGCCCGCCGCCCCGCCACTCGTAGAGCGCCACGGTCCCGCCGCCCAGCCCCAGCGCCAGCCGCCTGCCCGGCGCCCAGCGCACCTCCCACACCCGCGTCCCGAGCTCGCGCGCGGCCCCGCCACCGCACGCCGCCAGCCGCGGCCCACCGCCCCCTCCGCCAGGCAGCACCGCCAGCACTGCCAGCCAGCGCCCACCGAAGACCGCTACTCTCGCTGCCGGCCCGGGCCCCGGCTCGACCCGCAGCCCCTGCACGCTGGCCTCACGCAGCACGCTCCGCCGGCCCGCCGCCGCCGCTGGCCCGCTGCCGCTCAGCCGAAACGCCACCACCTCCGGGCCTGTACCTGCGGGACATCGCGTCAGCCACCGCCGCTGGTCCCGCCGCCCGCCCCGTCCCGGTCCCAGCGCTCACCCGCCAGCAGCACGTTCCCCGCGAACTCCAGCGCTGTCACCGGCGCCACCAGCGCTATCGACTCCATCTTAGCCGCACCAACCCCGCCACGGCCCCCCCCCCACCCCCGCCACGGCCCCCCCCCAGCGCTCATTGGCCGAGTCGCACGTGCCACCGCCCCGCCCACTGCCCATCGGACAGCCCCCGTCACCCCGCCCCCAGAGCACACGGAAGCGGCGCCCGTGCCTTCACGCTTTATTGGCGCGCGACGCGGCCCCGCCCCCCGCCCTGCGCGGGAAAAGGTCACGTGCGCGCGGTAGCATTCCCGGCGCTACAGCTCCAGGTGCACCCCACTGTAGGCCTTGTCCACTGTCCATTCGCCCGGGGGTCCGGCCCTAGCCCCCGCCTCAGACCCCGCAAAGCGCTCCATCTCTTGCTGGAACTGTTGCTGCCGCCGGCGGTTGGGGTCCACATTGATCCAGTTGTTGGCGATCCACTTGGTGCCTTGGGTGACCAGGCAACCCCCGTGCAGAGCAAAGTCATCCAGCTCCCCTACCCAGCCTGCAGAGCAGAGCCCCATTAGACGGTGGCAAAGGAGAGCAGGCCCCGCTGGGACCACACAGGGACATACGGCCAGCGAACACCAATTCCATCTCTCCTTCCTGCACTACCTGCTTGGATTTGAGCTCAGATACATCTTACAGGAGTTACTTTTCCTGGCACCCCTCCATTTTAGTGCCATCTCACCCTAGTGCCTACAAGGAATTAATCAGGCTCCCCAAGTGCAAAAGGCCCACTGTCTCCAATTCTCCACTCAGCACAACTGGCTCTCACAATCCAGATCACAGCATCTGTTTTTTTCAGCTCTTTTGGAAAAAAGAAGGCTGACACAGAAGAGATGGGTACTGCCACTAGAAGGCCTGTGGAAGCCAGAGGCTTGCAGCTGTTTTAGAGATTGCATTTTAGCAGTCCTAAATGACCTGTTTACAATGATCCTATCGTTTTTCTGTGGCAGACTTGCCTCAGCAGCCACTTTCCATTTAGGAACAAATTGCTCATAAAAACACAACAGGGCTCTTCTCACAGGAGAGTGATGGTCTTGATATTATCATACAACAGCCCCAACACTGGTCTTGTGACCTCCTCTGTGGATTTTCTAGAGATGGAAACATGGGCTGCTCTCAGGGGACCTGAGATGCCACACTCCTTCCTCCCACCACAACTCAAAATCTGCCATGGAAACCCTCTGGAGCCATACTCACCAGCAGCCTTAAAGATTCATGTCAGTTCCCAGCCTGTCAGGGAAAACCACACTGCGCTTCATGACAAAAACAGCCTCAAGGACACATCATGGGGCTGCGGCTAAGCTACAAAGCAGGCATTGGCCCCAAGCGTGGCATGGGGTGGCCCATGTGTCCTCATGCTGCAGAGCTGATGGCCGTGCCTTTGTCTACCTCCCCTCCCCACCCCTTTGGGCAACACCACATCAGTGACACATTCTGAATTGCAGACCAAGTTCCAGCAGGAGTTTCAGCTTGCACAGCAGGATGGAAGGAAGCTGGTGATGGCGAGTGCAGCCAAGGTCTTTGTTTGCTAGCTAGTCCTGTCCCCCAAAGACATCAGGAGCCACTGACCTACTGCCTGTAAACAAAGGCCTTTCAGAGTCGGGAAGCTCCTACTCAGCTGGTGACAAAAAGACTCTACAGTTCTCACTAGCTGGCAGCTACCACCCTTTTTTTGGCTGTTCTTTGAGCTCCCAGCTGCAGCAAGGAGATGACTGCTGTCACCTACTGCACTCCCAGCCCTCCCAAAAGCTGTTTTGAAGTGAGCTTGTACCTTCTCCATCTGACAGGTAGTTGTACCAGAAGACAGCAGTGCCTTGCTGAGGTTTGACTCGCAAATTGCCCTTGTCACAGTTTTTCCGAGTATCTCGCAGGTCAATGTCATTCTGGATCAAAGACTGGAGAGAAACCACAGGGAAGATGTCACAAACAGGGCTGGAACAAGGCATATGCACTGGGTTGTCCTGCAGTTGATGCAGGGGCTTTCATAACCCACCTGGAGCAACCAGTTTCAGGCCCCAGGAGGTTCATAACCTGTTTCTGAGCAGATGCCATTTCTTAACACATTTCCTGATACCTCACACCTCTGAGCAGGGAGAGCTGAGCTGTCAAAGCCCTGCCCCTCCTCCCCTGTCCTCAGAGGAAAAAGACTGTAAGTGGAGCACGGTTTCCCCAATGCTCTAGCTACAAATGCTAATGCATACCAACTAAAGGCACCAGACCCCTTCTGCAGCCACAATAAATTCAAAGAGGGACTCAGAATCCCCAGGGGTAACATGTAGTTGAGGTTCATTTACCATCTCCTCGTAAGTCCTGTTATCAGCAATAGGAAAGACTGTTTCACCTCCTCCAGTCACATTGTTCAGGTAGAACAGCACAGTCACATACCTGCAAGACAGAGGTTGTCAGAAGACACACCTGGAGCAGGAGGAGATGCACACGGGCTGTCCATGCCCTGCCCCTCCACCATAAACACAGTGGCTCCTCCAAGACATCACATGGCACAAGATTTACACTGTCAGCTTTTCTCCAAGAGTAACACAAGGACAACAAAGAAAACTCCTACCGAGAGTAGTGAATGCGCTTGTAGGCTCTGCTGGGGACAGCCCACCCACTCCATCTTCCATGTGTGGACCCACAGGATTTGCTCACCTCCCCTTTAAAACCCCTTCATGCCAGTGATGTCCTGAGCTGGTCTGTGAGCCCACAACCTGACCACCGAGTCCCAGGTGAGATGAGATGAGATGAGATGAGATGAGGTGAGGTGAAATGGCTCCTCACACTCCTTGTCTTAACATGTTCAGGGCAGAGCTTACCGGCAGGAGGTCTCAAAGGGAGCGCTTTCATTGGCAACAAGCTTTGTGTGGCTGCAGGCAGTCTCAGGGAACACGGGGCCACTATCCATGTGGGCGTGGTAGTGCCCTCCTTGGTCATACCGCACAACCTGGAGGGGCTCGCTGTGCTCCACGATCTCGGGGGGCAAGCGAGTCAGGCGCATTACCCTGAGGAAGAGCAGAGCAGATAAGTGGAAAGCCACCCTCACCCTAGTCAGCTGCTACCCCCAAGCAAATAAACCCAGAGAAAGAGAACCCCCTTCCCCAAAAGACCGGACAGATGGATGGGCTGCAGCGAGCATGCCAAGAGACAACCAGGTCCTTACTGTCTGTTGGACCATCACCATTGGCTCAGAAAGCCCTCATCAAGGTTAATGAAAAAACAAAACAAAACCCAAGGAAGCATCTCTAGCAGGACTGCTCTCAGGAAGACTTTGCTTGCTCAGCAAGATCCTTTTTCTGCGTGTCCCTGGAACATTCATGTGCCATCTCATCACTTCTCTGGACTCCTGCACACCACCTACAGACCCTCAGGGACAGTTAGAAAAGCACAGGGCCCCTGCTGAGAGTGAACGAGAGACTAGCTCTAGGAAGTCTTGTCACCTAACTCACCTTTCCCTGTTGCTTTTTCAGCAGCCTCCCCCAGGGCAGAGGGGCACTGGAAGTGATCAAGGAGACCGGAGCCCTCCTGCTCTGGGATTTTTCCACTGCTACATCTGAGATCATCCCCAAGGCAAGCAGGTACGTCTTGAGACCTGCCAAAGAACACTCAGAGCTCTGAGAATCTGGACCGGTGAAACCCTTGGGGCAGGTGC